GTCAAGGTCATAGTTCAATCAGCCCCTTCATATCCAACAATTTTTGTTTTAAACATTTTTTTATTTAATCGCGATGTTTCGAGTTATTTGGCTGCCTAAGTTAAAATGGGTCACCCTGTATATATATATAAAATTATATGAATTAAATAAATTAAAATTACATGAATTAAATAAATTAAAATTACAAATTAAAAATGAACTGTCATTTTTTGCGCCTACAAATTATAATTTCTGAAATGGCAAATTACCATTTAAAATATTAAATTTGTAGTCGCAAAAAAGAACAGTTCATTTTTAATTTATAAAATTTTGAAAGTTGCCTCGCTGTACAAAGCTGTCCTTCTCCCCTACACATGTATTTTGAAACACGTTTCTGTTTGGAACCCCTAATTTTTTAACAATAATAATTACTATTTAGATAATATGAAAATGCCAACGTTTTATGGAATTCGTAAATCAAGTTGAGCTATTTGGACCCAGAGATCTTGATAACGCTATCAAACAATTACAAGATAAAAATGTTTCTATAAGAAAAGCTGCTTTGGATAACAATATTCCCGAAAAGACTCTGAGGACTCGACTGAAACAAAAAAATTTGTTAAAGGAGCGTTAGCGAAGAAATATCATCTTGAGGATGAAGCTGAGAAACAATTAGTACAACACATTGTTAAACTTTAATCAGTAGGATTTGCACCTTCTCGAAAAAATTTAAAAAGAATAGCTTATAATTTATCGGAAAAAATTAAACTAAAACATACGTTTAATACTGAGAAAAAAATTGCCGGATCTGATTGGTACAAATCATTTATGAAAAGGAATTCTACATTAAGCGTTAGAAAAGCTAGAGGAACTTCAAATGCACGTGCAAGTGCAATGAATAAAAAAGAAATTAAGAATTATTTTCATTTATTGGAACAATTTCTTAATGATAAAAATGTGATAAAACCAAGTAAACCAAGTAAGATTTATAACATGGATGAGACAGTAAAAATGTTCAAGTACGTCAATGTACAGAAAGAGAAGAAACTATTACAGTTACAGCATGTTGCAACGCGGAAGGTTCATTTTTATCATCGTACTGTATATTTAAAGATGTTAAAAAGCAGCAGATATGGGAAGAAAACATGCATGCAATTTGGCATGCCTAAAATTTCAGCTGAGTGGAGTTTTTTAATATTTGTTTGGTATCTTGCAAATATTGAATCATTACGAACCTTGGGAGATAGATTTGATGTATCTATTTCCTCGATTTTTCATATAGAGCTTCGTGTTGTAGAATGGCTATTATCAAGACTGGATGAAGAAATAAAATGGCCAGAAGGAAATAACGCCATTCTTATGACCTCTCAAAAATTCGAAGCAATACGAGGAATAAAAAAATGTATCGGAGCAATAGACGGTACGCATATCGCAATTCGACAGCATCTTGATCATTCTAGAGACTAATGCAATCGAAAAAGGTTTTTCTCTATCGTATTACAAGGTGTTGTGGATGCAGATATGAAGTTCACGAACATTTATTGTGGAGAACCGGGTTCATTGCACGATGCACGTTTTGAGAAGGTCATTATTGTATGATACTGCTCAAAATGACAGGAAGAAACGCTTGTGCCGCCGCCTGTCTCTACGCGGAACAGTTTCCTGGACGCGCACATCCTAATGTAGACGTCATTTTGAGATGCATCCATCGTTTACGAGAGACAAGATCTGTTGCGACAAAATCGCGGTGCTGGCAGAGTTCGCGCAAATGTGGAGGAGAGAATCCTGGAAGTATTTGAGGAGAACCCCAGGAACAGTATACGCCGTGTGGCTCATACGCTCGGTATTTCTCCATACGCGGTACATCGTACTTTACGCGAAAACGGATTGCACCCGTATCACTTTCAGCGGGTGCAGCAACTTCTTGCGCGAGATGAAGAGCCGCGCATCTGTTTTTGTGAAGGTATTTTTATTATTTTTATAAAATATTTTCGCTGTTTTTTTCTTAAGAAATATTAACGACGGAATGTAACGTAGGATTGCTCGCGCAATGTCGGCGGAATGTCCTTTTCCCCGACCGCATCCTGTGGACGGACGAAGCAACCTTCACACCGAATGGCGTGTTCGACTCCCGAAATAATTTACTCAGGGCAGTTGAAAATCCGCACGCTGTTCGGTAAGATGTGTTCCAGTATCGTTGGACGATAAACGTGTAGGCAGGAGTAATGGCGGACCGAGTCGTAAGTAACAATAAGTTTATGATTTAAGAAATTCTTTCTCTTTCTCTCTCTCTCTCGCACTTTTTAAAATCGCTCTTGTGACAATTTTCAGATCGGTCCATTCTTTCTCCCGCCACGTCTAACGGGAGAGACGTACGTCCATTTTTTTAGAAAATGAGTTGCCTGCCCTTTTCGAAGACGTTCCTCTTCGCAAACGGGAGGAACTCATTTTCCAATATGACGGGGCTCCTGCGCATTTTTCGCGGCAGGTACGCAACGTTTTAGATACGTGCTATCCGAACAGGTGGATGGATCGAGGTGACCTAATCATTTGGCCGGCGCGGTCGCCGGATCTTAACGTGTTCGATTATTTCGTTTGGGGTCACATCAAAAATTTAGTCGAGCACCTTCGTGATGATACTGAAGCCGAGATGCGAGAAGCAATTCTCGCAGCTTTCAATATCATTACGCCAGAAACCGCGCTACGCGCAAAATTACTCGAAGAGCCGAAATCTGTTTACGAGAACGAGGACGGCACTTCGAACAATTCTTGCATTAAAATGCAAGAGAGGATTAGACCTACTGGGAATACCACTTTAAAAAAAATGCGCAATGCTATCTATCGCAAGGTGGTGTGGAAAGCGCGTGATAGCGCTTCATCAGTTCCTTGTCACAAAAAGAGAAAGGTTTCTTTGATTCAAAGAAATGTTCCGTTGCAGTACGGTTCAAGAAAAAATTTCTTTGATTTCAACATCATTTCTTTAATTTAAATATCATTTTTTGAAATCAAATAATTCTTATTTTATTTAAAAAAGTTATGTTCAAATCGAAGAAATTATGTTTCATCATTTCTTTAACTTAAACATCATTTTTTTAAATCAAATAAATCTTTTATTTGACTTAAAAGCATTATGTTCAAATCAAAGAAATTTTTTCTTTAACCGTATAGCAAAGCAACATTTATTTAAATCGAAGAAACCTTTCTCTAGGTGTAGGCTCGCGAGTCAAGATTTTTCTTTGACATTAAACCAGTCAATTTTTTCTTCAACAGAAAAAAAACATTTCTTTGAATGGAAGAAATCTTTTTCTGGGTGCGTCGTTAGTATTCGTATACCTACCGCTCATGGAAGTTCAGATACTCGCATAAATTTTATCGAGAGATCATGTAAAAAATTAAGATTTTACAAAACAGCAATTGTATTATTTTTTAAATATATTTTAGGT